GGGAGGCAGGAGGGGCAGTGAGGAGGGGAGAGGTGGGGGAGGGGAGGGCAGAGAAGGGAGGGAAATATGAATTTGCCATACCCGACCAGACGAAACGAACTTGTTTTCTGCCAGCAATACCCACAGCTCTCTTTTAGGCACCGGTACTTCCCTTAATTTCTAGATAGGTCACAGAAGCTAGATTATCTGTCTCATCTAAGGACACACTAGCAAATGGCAGAGTCAAGACCAAACCATTGCTGATTCCAAAGCCCATGTTCTTTCTAATCTACCCCACTACCTTGGCTTACCATTTATGCATTTCATTTTTTAGTGCTGGAGAAAGGGGTTAAAAATAGCTTTATTTCTATTTCTCCCTATAAGAGCAAAGTCAATGCACACGTTGGTACAATAATAATAACAGAACTCACAGGGGTTGTGCTCCTCCTTTGCGCCAGGTCTGGGCCACATGCCTTGGAGGAGTTATCTTATTTCGTCTTTACAGCTCCGTGGAGTAGGTGCAAGCATTTGGGATCTCCTTTTACATGTGAGGGCACTGAGGCCCTCCCAGGTTATGTATACATGCTCGAGGCCACGCAGTTAGAGAGGGGAGCTGGGCTCGGAAGCCAGCAGAGTGACTCCCCCGCCTGCCTCAGTCACTGTCCCATCCAGGCAGTTCTTACTGGGAAGTCATTAGAAGAACACTCAGAGTTTCTGACAGCAATTTTGCTAAGAGATATTGATTCGTTAACTATTTTAACTTGCTCTTTGTTTCCTCTTTTTACTTACTCTTGTCCTCAACCATCGTATCTGTGAAACCATTGTTTTAATGTGCTAGTTTCAGATTTTCTAATATACATGAAACTAAACACACATTAAAATAAATGAAAAAGTGATAAAATAAAATTTAAAAATTCATCTGTATACCACCTACCAGTAACTTTTATGCTCTGCCAGTGGTAAGAATATTTTCCTCCGTCACTGCTCAGAAATATCACTTGTTAATGAGGTAGAAAAAGGTCAGATCATACCCAACACTTCTGAATGGGGAAGAAAGAGGCAGGACCCGGACTCAAGGATTCGACTCCAGACCTTTCCCTCTGCACCACCAGCCTCCCTCCTGTGCCTCCTCTATGTTCCCTGGAATCCCGAGGATGCAGCTGGGGGCTTCAGAAAGCTTTAAGGTACAGCTGATCCTGTCTTTATTTAAAATGCTTGTATTTTGTTCATCGTGGATGTTTTTGCATTAATCTTGATTCTTTAACAAATACTACATAAATTATTATGTGTTTTGATTACTGAGTTTATTTAAATGTTTTAGTATATAATACATTTAATATGTTGTCTTTATACCAACATAGTCAAAAACATACTTTTTAATATTTTTTTAACAGAGAAGGGGGGCCCACAAAGATCACAACATGGCCCTTATGAAGCTGATTACTTCCTACCTCTGACACATCCCCACTTCTCCCTCAGGACCTGGGACCCCATGAGAAACCAAAACTGTACCAAGCAGTGTGCCCCACAGTGGCTCAGAGCCACCTGGCCCTTCAACTGCAAAATACGAATGCGTTTTAAAAGCTTTACCTTGGTACATACTGTTTCTGAGAAACTCCATAATATGTAATTTTAAATTTCCATTCACTTACTGACGCTTATAACCCTTCTTGCAATGTCCTCAGCTTCTCTCTCTGGGGCACTTTAGTCTCCAGCCTTTTATCCATGATAAATTATCCATTTAATCAAACTATCTAGCTTAAGCATTTTTGGTTACTGCTTTATTTTTTTCAAACGAGAGGGGGGCATCCAACAAACCAGATGTGACCGTCTCCAGTTTCGTTTCTTAATGTACAAGTTGCAGATTCCTTATAGATCCTCCGGGGTAAATCACAAACAAGAATTAGCACATCACCAGCCTAACTTCCTCTTCTCAGCATGTCTGTTTCAAATTAAAGTGAACGACAGACTCAAATATCAAAGGCATATTGCCCCTAAATTAGCCAATCAGCTCCAAATACAGCTGGAAACAAGAGCAGGGGATAATGTTTTTCAATCAGCGGACAACCCTTTGAAAGTTTAATTATAAATGGTAGCCGTTTATTTCAAGCTAAATGAAATTTGCCACTTCTATGTAGGCAATACACACTGTATGTCATCCCAGCCCAGTCTCTTATCTCTTACTGCCTACAACAGGGGGAGCAAAAATTATGTAGATCCCCATTCTCTGACTTCTATTATTTCATTATTCTTTGAAGGGAATGGAAAATGCTTGCTATACAATTGTTAGAAGAAATCAATTTTCTGAGCAGCTTTTTTTTTTTTAACAAAGAAATTTGTCTGGATTAAACTGACGAGGCAGACTAGAATCAGTGTCCTTGGAATTGGGAATCCCGTTATCCATCAATGAGGACTGTTTTCCAGATCAGGGGAAAGAAGGGGTGGTCAGTTTGAGATTGGTCTCAGGTGTCAGGCCTGGAGAGAAACGAGGTTGTTATCTGTTCCTGTCAAGGAGACGATGACCTCCATCTCAGGGGTTCGCGTTCTGGAGATAATTGCAATGAATCATTTGCAAGGCAAGCCTTCAGAACCTTCTGCATGGGCACAGTGCAATCTTCCTCACCCATATGACCCCCACAGCCCCAAATTACATGTCACTTCTCCTCAGGTAGGAAGATCCAGTGGACAGGTATGGATTTGTCTGCCCAGAGCATCACCACCCTTAGGAAACTCCTCGTCCCCCACTTCATACAAGTGCTCCTCTCCTTAGCCCTGCAGGATGAAGTGTGATAACTGGCCAGCCTGAGTCAAGAGCCATCCCTCAAGTGAATCTAAGTGAGATTCAAAGTGTGACATGCCCATTGATTTACAGGATTCCCATGTTCCTTGGAATGGAGCCCAGAAATGGAAATCTGATATAGAGCTATTGAGGCAATGAAGCCCAGCCTTTGAAAACGGACAGACCTGCCATGTAAGTAGCTGAGTGACCTCATGCAAACTGCTTAAACACTCTGAGCCTCCATAGTCCTATATGTAGAATGAGGACAATATCTGTCCTACAAAGTTTTTGTAAGGATTATAGTTATTGCTTGCAAAGTTCTGGAACTACTGTAGCTACTAAAAAAATAATAAACATATGTAGTCATATACCAAATTATCAAACCTCATCAGCCAGTGATGATAAAATGGGGTCATATTTGTGTTTAACTCCCAAATGACCGTGATCCTGACTCCAGGTGGTTCTACCCCGGGTACCAGTTCTGCCCCTCCAAAACACCCTGAAATACCTCCCAAGTACTTCATCCTGAAGTACTGTCTCCCATGTGTTCACAAAATGGTCTGAGACCATCTCCAGGAGAGATCCTCTGTCAGATAGCATCCACCATGTTTTCCTGTCTTTATTGTCACTGCAGAGTGCACTCCTTATTATTAAGTCACCAGAGTCCAAGCCGGAGATGCTGTCCCTGATGTCCCCTTGTCATTGCTCCCTGCGGTGACCCAGTGGTGCTGGGTTCTGGTGGCAGTGAGGAGAAAGGTCTCTCCTCAGCTACCTGGGCCTCCAGTTCATTCCTTATTTCCCAAAACAACTCAGCAAACTTCAAAGAATCAACAGCATTCAGAAATGATCCCATTGCCGTTAATCCACACCCTCCAGAAAACAGTCTGCCAAATGTGAATCAACAGTTCCCACAATACAGACAGAAACCTTTTTGGAGCTGATGGCCGCTTCTCTCCACACCCACCAACACCCCCACTCCATCCCAACAATTTCAGAGACCCGAGGGCTCAGCCTCAGCCAGGTCACGCATGGAATCTGAGTCAACTCTTCATTAATCAAAACAAACCCTGATAAGCTGGGACAACGTGAGAGAGTAGCATTGATATATATACACTACCAAATGTAAAGTAGATAGCTAGTGGGAAGCAGCCACATAGCACAGGGAGATCAGCTCGGTGCTTTGTGACCACCTAGAGGGGTGGGATAGGGAGGGTGGGAGGGAGACGCAAGAGGGAGGAGATATGGGGATATATGTATATGTACAGCTGATTCACTTTGTTATACAGCAGAAACTAACACACCATTGTAAAGCAATTATACTCCAATAAAGGTGTAAAAAAACCCCAAATAAACCCTGAGTGTAGATCCCGCCCACAGCCAGTGAGTGACCACATGCATGGAGGACAGAGGACAGATAACATATGGGTTTGCAGAGGTCAAGGGGCTCCAAGAAAGGATGTGAATATGATTCGTTGGAGAGTATGTAAATCAGTTTCTCCTCCCTCTCACTTTCTTACATATGCCCTGTGATATATATGGTTTTCTAACAATAAAGACAAATTATGACGATAACAAGGTCAAGGTACAGCATTATTATAAGTTATATTTCAGTTTGGCTTTATAGGATTATATAGATATTGGGTCAATAAATAATTTGTGTGTATTGAATCATTATCTATATGTTATATATTAGTATGGTGTACACTAATATATATTATATATATTAGTATGTTATATATATAAATTCATTTTTGTAAGTAAATATAAAACTTTAGACAAATTTAACTAATTAAGCCTTTATTAATGGAGTGGGGTCAAAGGTAGGTGCTTTGGGAAACCTATTTAATTTTTATAAATAAAACACTGATTATAAATAGTAACATATGAATATATCAGGACTCTTGTATTGATCTTCCTATTAGGCCTTCAGAGCTAACTTTTACTTGCATGTACCCCAAATGTCATGCTGTGATTGAGAAAATCTGCCCACCAGATTTCACAGCCAATTGTTTTTGTGCCAGAGGTGCTATGTGATCATATATGAAAAGGCAGGAAACTCAGGGATTCCAGTGACCCATAAGTGGCCTATTGCCTAGTAGCAAGATTTCAATAAAAACCCTGCATGAAATGAGCCTCACACTTATAACAAAATGAGTCTGAAACAATCAAAAAGTCGTATGAGGTCCATGACTCTATGACAAGGCTAAGTCCAGGAGGCAGGCAGAGTAGGACCACAAGGAAGATTCAACACGGTTTTTGCAGCCAACTTTTTCTGGTCACAAATGGCTGTTCTGTATAAATGTTCCTGAAAGTTCTCATTTCTAATGGTGGGTCTTAGATAGCAATATTTCACCAAACCACAATTTTTAATGGATCATTACTGTTTTTGCATTTTGTCTTAATGTTACTTGTCTTTCATTTCCTTAGTTGGTTAAACTACTATTTCTTCTCTGTTTCTTGCATTTCATCTCTACTGAGGATGGTATGACTTCTTCATCCTTTCAAATTGATGAAATTAGGTTGGGTCTGTTTCCTTAATTCCCTTAATTTAAATGGGTAAGACTGAGTCATTATGGATGAGTGATCTCTTCCAGACTGCCCTCCAGTGTAAATGACTGAGGGAATAAGGCTCTGAGAACTGAGTCATGAGGTCTAACCAGGCTTGCTGGGCAGGGGAGGGTGAAAGAGCCTGCGTAACTCTTTCCTGAAAAGCATAGTGGGGGAGATACAGCAGATCTGGGTGAAACCAGATGTCTTAACCAACCAGTTGTGTTCAGGTAAATTATTTAGTAAAACAAAGCCAAATACAATTTTAGTTAAATCCTATTTGATGAGAAATGGATGTTGTTGCATTGGTTGTTGTTTTTAAATTTTTATTTTGAAATAATTGTAGATTCACATGCATCAATAGTTGCAAGAAGTAATACAAAGAGATTCCATCTACCCTTTGCCCAGTCTCCTCCAGTGGTAACATCCTACAAAACTGCAGTGCCAGATCACAACCAGGGTATTGACAATGATACAGTTGAGAGGTAGGACATCTATATCATTGCAAGAATCACTCCTGTTGGCCTTCTCTAGTCACACCCATGCTTTTGCCATCCCCCACGCCTTTCTTAATCTCTGGCAACTGTTAATCTGTTCTCCATTTCTATAAATTTCTCATTTTAAGAATTTTATATAAATGAAATCACACAATATATAACCCTTTGAAACTATTTCCATTCAGCATAATTCTCTGGAGATTCATTCAAGTTGTAGCATGTACCAAGAATTCATTCAGGATTTCTCAACATGGAGATTCCACCATTTGTTTAATCCATTGGGACATCTGGATCATGATATGCTTTTAAATATTGTACAAATTGCTTGATACTAATAAGCAGTTGTGAGAACACTTACTGGAATCCAGGAGTTGTTTTAAATAATTTATACCAATTTTCTTACTTTACTCTCGTGACAGATTTGATTAAGCAGATGTAATGCATGATTAAACTATAAAGTTTATATAAACTATAACATTAAAGAGAAGATATCTTCTCCTATGGACTTAGATGAATCTAAAGGGAACTATAGTATAATTCAAAATTAATGAAATTCTTCAGTTGATATAAAATGGGAATTGAGAGAGACTAAAGTAGATGACACGGGACTAGTCACTTGTAAAAGGAAAATATATAAATATCACTTCAAGCATTGTTTTAAAAAAATTAAGTAGAGGCTTAAAAAGTTTGGAGCAAAATAAAATTGAATAACTAAAAAACAACCGTCTAATGAAAACTGGGAAAAAATTTGAAAGTAAAAATAAAGAATGTTAAATAAAAAATTATAGTGTTAAACAGCAAAAATTTCTTAATGTATTCAACATTACACTAAGTAAAAATAGAATAAATTAAACACACTAATTAAAAGACAGAAACTTTCGGATTGAATTAAAATGAAAACAAAAATAACACCAAGCTCTACAATATTTAAAAAAGATACACTTCAGATAACAAGGTGGAGAATCGAGGAAAATAAAGGATAGAAAAAAATGTACCACACAAATAAGAGTCAAAAGGAAATTTAACATATGTAAGATTTATTCAAATTTTAATTTTCTTTAATTTAAAAAATTCTATTGAAATATAGTTGATTTAAAATGTTGTGTTAGTTTCAGCTGTACAGCAAAGTGATTCAGTTATACACACACATATAATATATATTATATATATAATCTTTTTATAGTCTCTTCCATTATACATTATTAAAAGATATGGTAATAGTATAGTTCCCTGTGCTATACAGTAGGTCCTTGTTGGTTATCTATTTTATATATAGTAGTGTATATATTTTAATCCCCAACTCCTAATTTACCCTTCCCCCTTTGGTAACCATAAGTTTGTTTTCTATGTCTGTGAGTCTATTTCTGTTTTGTAAATAAGTTCATTTGTATCATTTTTTTAGATATCACATATAAGCAATATCATATGATATTTGTCTTTCTCGGTCTGGCTTCACTTAGTATGATAATCTCTAGATCCATCCATGTTGCTGCAGATGGCATTATTTCATTCTTTTTTATGTGTGAGTAATATTCCACTATATAAATTATATATATATATAACATCTTCTTAATCCATTCATCTGCCAGTAGACACTTAGGTTGCTTCCAGGTCTTGGCTATTGTAAATCGTGCTACTATGAACATCGGGGTGCACGTATCCTTTCGAATTATGTTTTTCTCCAGATACATGCCCAGTAGTGGTATTGCTGGATCATATGGTAGCTCTATTTTTAGTTTTTAAAGAACCTCCATACTGTTCTACATAGCGGTTTTACCAATTTACATTCCCACCAACAGTGTAGGAGGGTTCCTTTTTCTCCACACCCTCTCCAGCATTTATTATTTGTAGACTTTTTGATGTTGGCCATTCTGACTGGTGTGAGGTGATACCTCGTTGTAGTTTTGATTTGCATTTATCTAATAATTAGTGATGTTGAACATCTTTTCATGTGCCTTTTGGCCATCTGTATGTCTTCTTTGGAGAAATGTCTATTTAGATCTTCTGCCCACTTTTTGCTTGTTTTCTTGATATTGAGCTGTATGAGCTGTTTATATATTTTGGAGATTAATCCGTTGTCAATTGCATCATTTGCAAATATTCTCTCCCATTTTGTAGGTTGTCTTTTTGTTTTGTTTATGGTTTCTT